TGGATCTATATTTTGAAATATTTACAAGACTAGCAGTCAACAGTTCTTTATCTACAATACTTTTTAATACTTCTGTCTCCTCCTTTCTTGTCACTTTTTTTCATCCTGCTTTTTTTGTTGTTTTTCAGCTCAGAAAATCTTTTGTTGATCGTGATATTGTGCTAATGACTGAGTGCTCTTAGATAAAACACAGGGCGTTCATAAGTGTACCTTTTAAATTTTTTTTTTAATAACAAATTTAAAAATGAGATGCATCCAAATTACCCATGCACCAAATAAATTCCCACAATGATGGGAAGAACTCCAAGCATTAAGGACTTTGGAAAAATTTACAGTACATTTGCACTTCATGCAGAACAACTTCTCCAGTGAACTGTCTGGGAATACTACATCAGCCATCCCCAGAGACATTTCCCCAGTGAAGGGAAGATTGTATAAGGACTCGTATACCCCCATTCTTAGAACAGAGACACTTGGCTTTAGGACCAGATTCCAGCTATTGATTGCACCTAAGCTCTGATCAGGAAAGCCACGGTCCAAGAAAAAAAAAGCTAAACAGAAAAGTATCTTTTTCTTCTAATTTCTGATCTGACAGGTGATTAATTTTGTTGTTATTTAAGAGGCTCTTTATGACCATGAGCATAGTGCGTCCCATGCACTATGTTGTACATGCACACCATGTCATGGTAACAACCAGTGCCAGGAGTTCTGCTTGAGCAGAGGCAGCATATCCTTGTTTCTATGAAGGGCTAAATCCTGAAGCCTCTCCAGCCCATATCTCTAGTCTGTTGGGGGTCCTGTGGTCTGTTTGAAGGCTGGACTATAGATGACAGTACAACCAAAGAAAGAGGGAGTATTGACCTAATATAAATTTGTAATTTTTATATTGGACTTAACAAACAGAATCGCTTAATTTTTCAACCTGAAGCTTCTCTGTAAAGACAAATTCCTGAATTAGGAATAAAAGCAATAATCATTCTCCACCCCACCGCTGCACAAGTTCGTCTGCTTAGAAATTTCAATTATCCATTTACATAAACAAACCTTTCATAGTCTACCTACTAGAACTCACCTAGGGAAACAAGCCTTAGTTTCCAGACTAAATAGCATATGAAATAAAATTCCAGGAAAAAAATCAGGTAAAATAATTTCCTGGAACCAAAAAATTTGAGCAGCACTCTATAACTCTCCTATCAGTAGCAGTGGAGCAATTTTCCGGCTCAGATAAATAGCAAAGGAATGAGTAGGAAATACAAAGAGAGGGAAAGGTTTAAGTCAAATTTCAGGCATACATTCTCTCTCCATATCCTCAAAGATGCACTAGCAAAAGGCTGCCCAGTAAAAGAAAACAGAAGAATAGTTCACTTTTTTTGTTTCTTTGGCCTTTTTGTTTTTCTCTTCCTGAGCAAGATGGTCATATTGTAGGAGTTGGAATAGAAGAAATCAAACATAAGGGGTGGCCTGGGCATTACCAAAAGTCAGGGGCAATGTTTTGTTGGGTATTTTTCGTCCTTCTGAAGCTCTTCTAAGCTGGAAAGATAAATCATTCACAAACGTACTTTAATTGGAATAATTCAGCATCCAGTCCTGACAGTCCTTATCAGTTATATCTCCAGTTATATTATCCGGTCCTATTTATAACTAGGGAATAAAGGTAAATGGAGTTATGGTTACCATATTGGCCACTTTAACAGTCCATGTACAAACCTAGGTCACATTTGAAATAGTAGATACATCACTGAATAAAGGAACGGGAGCTCCTTCAGGAGCAGGGCAGAGCCAGATCACCTCAATCCTAATGCCCCTCTCGTTCTAGCTGCATACAAGGACAGCACAGGATGAAGCATGCTGATGGGCAGCGGCTGTTCCTGCTGCCACGCTAACACAAACAAAACAGGTACAAGAAAGGTGGGAAAGGGTTATTGTGACACTCACTATCTAGTGCTGGGGCCAGAGACACAACCTCATCCCAAATGGTCAACAGTGCCTTAAACAAGCAGAAGTTAAGAGAAATTAGGAGAAACAGATTAAAAAGCTAGGGACTTCTTAAAATAATAAGAGGAGGCGGGAGTGCATCACCACCTGGAAGATTGATTCTCTTCATTTTACATTTTAAAGCTTTTGTTAACAACAGAGTCTGAAACTTCCATTCACTTAGCAAGGTGAGCTCAGACCCTCTTACAGGGTTACGACTCCAAAGGCAGGGCTCTGAGACACGCAGCAGCTATCGCAAGATTCTTGATAAAATCATGAGAGGTAGCAGTCCTGACTGCAGTGGCTGACAGCTGTTTTAAGGCTGTATAATTATTTAGGGCAGGCAAGCCCTCAGGGAATGCCTTGAAGGAATGAAGAATCTTTTGCTTACAGCTTTTTTCTAAGACAGGAATGCTGAGAAATGGGGAGTTGGGGTATGTTTTATACTTGCAATTTCACTGTCCTGTGCTGCATAATAAAACTTCTGAGGTTCCGATTAAACATTTTAGCTACAAGAGCCTATCTGTGCTGAGCTAAATTATTTAATTTGCATAGCTATCCCCAAATATCCATCAACATGGATGATTTATTTATAAAACCTGAAAATCATTAAAAGTGTTACCTCTATGACAGCAGCAGCAAATGTCCACTTTCAGACCTAACTGCAAATAATACTTACTCAGCACTTTCCATGTAAGTATCTAAAACTGGTTTAGAAACATTAATGGAATAAACCAAACAAGAGACAGGAAATTACAGATAAGCAAAAAGATTGAGAAAATCTAAGCAAGTCAGCTAAGGCCTCATAGAGAATTAGTGACAATGACCAAACCAGCCTCGCACCACAAAAGCATCTAGAATCAAAATAAGATATTGATTTTGAATACATTTAATGTTTAAAATCAAAAGTAACCTTAATTATTTTGAATCATTTTTTAAAAGCAAATGTAACTTGTACATCCATAATAGTTAGAATGAAATTGTGCTACTGAAATGTGTAGGAATTAGGTTACAAAATTAGTTCTACAGTTTATAAGGTATGCCTGTTTGATGCACTGTAGAAGAAAACAATGCACAAAACCACCAATGCTCAGAAATGTTTGCGTATATGCAAAACCAAATAAAAAGGATGGATTGGCAAGTCATTGTAAATGCAGATTCTGTGTATTCTATTACTATTTCTTCATATTACCATCCTTTTTAAAAGCTAGATAAAATGCAAAAGTTTTACCACAAAAGATTATGGCAGCTCTGGACTTGAACAATGTTACAGCATCCCTTTTAAAGTTAAATCATACTTGACTATAGTTATAACAGTGTCCATAAAAATACAAACATGAGGGTAGTTCAGCTGCTGAATGCCCACTGATAGTGCTTTTTATTGCATGGACAAGATCACAATTCATACACTAACCCCATTTTCCCAATTCCCCAAGTTTCATTCTGTCAGGATTTGGAAATATTGTGGAATTTATACTTACAACTGTAAGGGAAGGAGGGAAACTGCAAGGGCTGCCAGTATCAAGTGATTAAAGAGTCTGAGCAATGCTGTAGGAGCCCAGCTCCCATGCTCTCTGCTGAAGAGCACTGTGGTGGTGCAGGACCTGGGGAAGGAGAACATGGTAGAAGAGTTGGGAGACATGGAGGAGAGAGGAGATATGAAGAGGGAGTTGAAGGTGTCAGAGCGGAGGGGGATGCTGAAAGCCACAGAGAAAATGAGTTTATTGCTGTGGGGAGGGTGTAAGAGAAACAAGACACAAATCTACAAGAGATCACAAATTGTATCATTTTTTATATATGTTGCTCATGGAACAACTTGTTTATACATTAATTAGATGGTAGCAAACTTGCTAAGAGCAAGTTATCGATAATAACAGTAAAATAATACAAATAAGAAAAATTACATAAAACAAGAGAAACAGAAAAATCTGGGTTTTAGAAGAGAAAAAAGTGAAATTTATAAACACTTTTAAAATTATTACACTTGGAGAGAAACACAAGCTTCCTTTTGTCTAATATCCCTACTTTTCTCTTCTTTAAAAATGATGGTAGACCAATAATATACACTTCCCTATGTGAGAACAAAGAAAACATTAAAAAAAAAAGTAAATTTGCAAGTATGCTGAGAATTTGTTCACTCTGCATTATTACACAGTTCAAGGGCAGAATCAGCTGAGCTTTAAATGTAATAAAGAAATGATTTCAAAGCAACACTATAAGCATCATAAAGTAATTGAGAATAGAAAAACAAGGATGATAAAAGTGTCCTATGTTATTGATGTTATAGTTCATATATGAAGTATTTCTGTGATGGGATTATCAGAGCACTGATGACAATGTGTACTTACTTATCAAGCTAAACAAGGTGTCTCAGAAAAGTGAAATATTAAATTATGTGCTATCAGCCAGCCATACTGTTCAGCAAAACTGTGTGTACATAGTATGTATTCTATACATCTGTATTTCTACATGTGACCCTCACTAAACTAGACTCTCTACAGTGTTTGAATAAAGAAGAAAACCCTTTGATCTTTTAAGAAGTTTTGAAATGGACCCAGGTTTAGGAACAAATTAAATTGCATCAAAAAACAAGGAAGAATAGTGTTATTGCAGGTTATCAGCCTTTCTCCTGCAATACTTATTCTCTCTTCTTGTCACAGATTTTGTTTTATTTTGTTATAGCAATACACTATCACAATTTAAAATGCACATTCACCTGAAGAAAGCTGTGACATGCCTACCAAAAGAGACATACACTGCTTAACCTAAATTGACCCTTTTTTCCTTCTATTCTAATAGATCTTTTTTCTTTTTGTCACTCAAAATGAGTGTCTGATGTATGAGCATAAATTGTTAAAAGCAGTTTTAGGTAAAGGAAGAGAGAGTGAAGTGGAGTTTTCTCACAAAAGCCAACCTCAATTTATGTCAAAGAGGGTTAAAAGACCTTGGGATTAAAGCAATAAACTTGCTGCTGTCAAAGCTAAAACCCGCTAACAATCTAGTGCCAAACGCATGTTGTTCAATATCATTTCATATTATATTATGTCACAAGTAGGTGACAGTTCCACATCAGACTGACAGGGCTGATTTACTCTGAAGAATTCATCGACATTTTGCAGAGTCAAAGCTGACTTCATTTTGTTTGGATGTAGGGTGGGAAATCTCTCTCTCTGCCTGAGCTGGGATGTTTCCCTGAATATTACAGACCTTGGACCAGCTGCCCCAGGCTCCCGTGAGCACTGCCAGAGAGGTGGTGGGGGGGGGGGGGGCAGGCATTCCTTTGGCACCTGCAGCACGGCTGGAGGCTCATTTCCTTCACTTGTCCTAAACAGCATCAACTTCTCTATCTGTGCCCTTTTCTGTAGCTGCACTTTTTAACGTGATTCACCCTCCTGCAATTCTTGAAGTATCCAACTGTCCTGTTCAATATTTTGATAATATTTTCTTTCTGAATTCAAGCTTTGATGGCTATCTAAAATATATCTATTGTCAAGGTTTGAAGCAGAAAGCTGTGTTAAGAAAATGCTACTAGCACCAACTTATATTTTAAATAGGTAGTAATAATAACTTTTTTCCCAGAATGTTAATTAGATCTCAAGGTCAAGTGTGATGAGAGACCTTCCTTAGGCCAATGGCAACAATACCATTTCTTTACATCAAGATGTCTTTGGCAAGAGATTCCCAGATGATTTTTTAAATATGGGTTCCAATTCAAATTTCTCCCAGGACTCTGGGAAAACTCTGAATAAACATATGCTTTGTTTTGTCTCAGGAAAATCTAATTGATTTGACTTCTCTGTCAAGTTGTTAAAGATTATTCAAAGAGTGAGTCCTTTTGCTTCTTCAAAATCCAGTGCATTCTTCCACAGATATTTGAATCCCTGTGCAATATTAATTTTCATCTCCTGTGGGCTATTGCTACAGAGCAGAAATTACAACTCGGCTCCTGAAGCTGAGAAACCAGAGCACCTGAATTTCCCTGAACCAGGAAGAACTGTGCTAACACTTAAGTAGTCTTGTTATATGTGCAAACAAGAATATTGCCCCCTCCTTTCTTTTTTCTTCTTTTTAAATGTGGACCAAATTTTCAGATATCATAGTTTGTTTTTCCCTTTATTTCTACAAAAATCTAGAAATATTTGTGGTCTTTAAACAAACATATCACTGTTTTCTCCATCTAAACATAGGAGTGGGTACATTAGTGCCTGGCCATTAACTTCTGTAAACCACTTAGTGATTCTTCTGTGGGATTCTTTGGGCAATGTTTGCTGTTCATCAAGGAAAAGGTTATGTGGAACAGCACATTGTGTGTAAAATGGCCCCATCATCCAACACACACTTGTTTTTACTGGCCATATGCTGAACAACTATCAGGCAGCAAAGGGGTTATCTCGTCTATTATGCAAAATCATTGCCAGGGAGCAGAACTTCTAGTGAATTGTTGGACGGATTAGCGGATGTTTAATCTTATTTGACATTTAAAGCACTTGGAGGTAAATTTAGTGTTCACCTGCCCGAGAGTGTACAGCACAAAAGTGCTTCTACGTATCTATTCTTGTTTAAACTAGTAGCTCTAATGACTGGAGGATATACAATACCTGGCAAAAAGAGATATTTCGGGGAAAAAAACCAAACATACAAACAAAAAAACCCAACAGATAAATACACATCCTGGCTTTAAACCTTTAGAGTTTTTCATACTGAGACATAAATTCTATTATTTCTGGATTATTATCTCACTCTGACACAGTCATACTCTTGTTAACTTACAGATTCTGCTAGTATGATCAAATTCTAATACATTTTTAATATTAATATTTCCAAGCTCCATTTTCTGCTGCCCCATCAGTTATGTACATGACAGACAAATACACATGTGTATCCATGTTGCACCGAGTGCAAGGCCTAAGGAATCCTTTGATCCAGTGAGAAATCTAAAAGAGAAAAAAAACATTTCTGCAGCCTTTTCCTCATAGAGATTCCCCCAAACCCACTGTGGTGCACATGTAGGTCAAACCATAAAGGGTTCAAGGAATTACAGTGGAAGAAAAGGGACGAACGCAGAGCTTTGACACAGCCTGATCCTGCCTTTGCTTTCTGCAAAACTCACCTCTGTGGTGAGGACACAAGAGGTGAGTTTTGAGGCACCCAGTCCCTTTTGCTGGGCTCTAATTGAGCATGCTCTCACCTTCAGTTACCTACACCTCTATGACAGAGATCAAAATGAATTATCATGTCTCTTTTAAGAGGGAAATACTACAGCCTCTCTCTCAATACAGGCTGTGACCTTTCAATTTATGCTATCAGTTTACTCGGTGCTTGCTCTGTGGTTCATGATTAACTTGAAAGAGTTAGATCACACTCTCTCCAGGTCCTCAGGAAGGAACTTCTGTTGACTATTAGAAATCCCTCATGCAATAAAAGTGCACATAGTATGGCTGTATAAGCCATCTTTCAAAGTTACTTCACTTCAGTAATGAGGTAGCAATTCTTATCCAAAAGCTCCTAAAAATATTTCTACTCATATATTTTTTTTTTCTTTAGGGTACTATTTATGAGAAGACAAAGTGCAAAACAGCCACCTGGTTATTAATAAATATGTCTTTGCTTTCATAAAGAGCAACTCCTTATTAGAGGGTCTCACAGCTCTCAAACATTAATTAAACATTCTTGTGTAGTCAATAAAAGATGCGTTTCATTTCTAACTATAAAGGGTAAACTAAGACAAAGAGAGACTTACTCACACCTTCCTGCTGAGCCCCTGGCAGACCCACAGAAACCTCCCTCTTCCTGTAACCATGGTAGCGCAGATGCCCCAGCATGTTCTAGAAAACAGCAGTAAAAAGAGTTTCATAAACTTTCTTTTTTTTTTAAAGCTCACCTGTAGACTTTTCTACATTTCTTTTTAGAAAAAATATATACTGGCAATTTTCTTAATCTTCATTAAAAGGTAACCTAGGAGATGGGGTGGACCGAGGAGCAGATACTGGACTGAGGAGTTGCATCTCCCCCTGCCACTGGAAGAGCAGTATCTGCTCAGGTCGGTAACATGGGGATTCTTTTTGTTATTTATTATTATCCACAACTCTCTACTTTAAAAGTGCTTGCTGAGGGTGGGTACACTCTTTCAGATAGTTTTGTAGTTCTCCACAGCTGAACATTTCCCTTCATTTATCAATGAATATCGGATGATGATGGGAAAATCGCTCCCTTGTTCCAACATATGTATGTTCCAAACAGAAATAATAGCAAAAATATCAAAAGACCCCCCAAATCAATTTTATACACTCAAAGGATCAAACAGTCTATGTTATCTTCAAATGCAGTAGCAGCTCAAGCTCATTTTAACAAAACCAGATAGATTTGATTATATTACTTGTACTTCTTCACCTTTCCAGTAGGGAAGGGTGGAAATACAGAGGTGAGCCAACTACAGAGATATTTAAATAGCTAAAACAAATTGAAAGTTTTTAAGAACAAAATCTGAGATTGTCACAGATAAGTACATGTAACCTTATAAAGATATATCACAGGATCTTTAACTCTCAGGACCTTACAGTTTCTTAATGACATTATAAGTCTAGCTTACTGTTCACCT